TCTGTGGGTTCAGGAGCTGTGTGTCTCTTTGTCTGTCTGTCTATGGGTTCATATGCTGTGTGTGTGTCTCTTTGTCTGTCTGTCTGTGGGTTCAGGAGCTGTGTGTCTCTTTGTCTGTCTGTCTGTGGGTTCATGAGCTGTGTGTATGTCTCTTTGTCTGTCTGTCTGTGGGTTAATGGTTGGAGGGTGTCTCTTTGTCTGTCTGTCTGTGGGTTCATGAGCTGTGTGTGTCTCTTTGTCTGTCTGTCTGTGGGTTCCTGGTTGGAGGGTGTCTCTTTGTCTGTCTGTCTGTGGGTTCATGAGCTGTGTGTGTGTCTCTTTGTCTGTCTTTCTGTGGGTTAATGGTTGGAGGGTGTCACTAGTAGGTCCTATTCTATTTACCTTCCCCTCCGTTATTTCTGTCTGTGTGTCTTACTTTTTTCCTGCACTAAATGACCTTTATTGTACACATTTGTGTTTCTGTTTTTTACTCAAGCCTTGGGTCTGTCTGTCCGTCGGTCTGTCTGCCAGTCTGTCTGTCCGTCGGTCTGTCTGCCAGTCTGTCTGTCCGTCGGTCTGTCTGCCAGTCTGTCTGTCCTCCTACCTTTCGTCCTTATCTCTCCTCCTTTTTTGTGTTTGTTACTCTCTTGTGACACTTCTAATCTTCGGCACTTATACTACTGTAGGAATAGAAGAACTAGCTTTCTAGAACAAGTATGAGCAACATATGTGTGGCAGCGTGGTGGAATCAGGCTCTCGTCAATTCTTGGGTATGTAGAGTTATTGATATCATCTTAAAGCTTGTTCACTTGTCTTTATTTGGATGAAAAAAGTATCCATTGATCTTGAATACAAGTCGAGATATTTACGAAAGAAGGAGGTGGGGGTCACCTATTTTCAGAAGTAAAATTAGTGAGAAAATGGCCGCTAAAGGTTAGTTATTTCCTTAGCTTAAGAGTCCATGGTAACTGAAAATTTACTTTTTCTGTGTCTTCACTCAACGTTTTTAAGAAAAATTCACACTGAAATGAATTCTTTAATGTGCATGAAAGGTGTTGAGTCAAAAAACAAAAATGTAATACAAATTCACAAACCTGCGGAAAAATGCAA